CTCTCGAAAATCTCTGCCACCGGCCATTGGATGGAGGAACAGAAGTAGACTGAGTGAGTCCCAAAGGAGAGAGCTGGGTGTGGGCCTGGGACAGCCCAGAAGTATTGCTTCTCACCTGTCAGAGCAAGTAAATGGGAGTCAAACAACGGACTGCCTGGGCAGTGAACAAGGGAGATAGGAGGCCCTGCCAAGCTCAGACTGAGTGGCTCTCAGTGTTGGATACAAAGAGGCCAACTGCTGCAAACCAAATAATGATCTTACCATGGGAGCCTAGGGACACGGGGACAATTAGCTGGTATTAATGTTTCAGCTAGTCATTAAGTGGGGGTGTGTGGGAATCACTCTCCATTCAGTCATTTTGGACTATGAATGACAAAGTACTTGCACCGAAGTGTAAAATAAATAAAGTATAAAGTGCCAGTGCCCTGTATACCACTACTAAAAAAAAAAAAAAAAAAAATGAGCAACGATCTTAAGCTTCTATTAATGTTTCAGCTAGTCATTAAGTGGGGGTGTGTGGGAATCACTCTCCATTCAGTCATTTTGGACTATGAATGACAAAGTACTTGCACCGAAGTGTAAAATAAATAAAGTATAAAGTGCCAGTGCCCTGTATACCACTACTAAAAAAAAAAAAAAAAAAAAAAAAAAAAAAGCTTTTACACACACACCCAAAAGAACCCCCTAAAAAGCAAACAAAAAATCACAACGACCAGTAACAAATCCAACTAATCCAACTTCTCTCTCTATCCATCACCAGCAAGGATGTGATTAGTCTGTTGCAATTGAGATCTTCCAAAGTAAATCAACTTTAACAAATGTATAGTAAATGGATGGCAAATATAATTAGCATTGATTGGAAGCCATTGTAAACACCATTTTCTATTCTATAACAAGAATTAAAGCAGTTTAATTAGGTATATTTAATAATAATAGAAAATATATTTAACAGAATGCTATAAAACATAATTACTATATTTATTTTTAAGAAAAAAATATAACCTTACTAGGCAAATACTTAAATTAGGACACAGATAAATTATTAACAAACTTAATCTGCTTAATTGCTTATGCTAAGTTAAACAAGAAGGTAAGATGTATGTTGATCACTGATTAACTCAATGGAAAAAACTATTTAAGAAGGACAAAGGAATGTGTTTTCATATATAGCAAATTGCATGTTCAGGAAATTTATAATTACTTCATACACACAGTTTTTTTCTTCATCTGCAACATCCTTATGTTCAAATGTGCCATTAGCATGTGTCTTCTGAAGTATCTTTGAGAGGAAGCTCTCCCTTTTAACTAACTCCTCAATAACCAGGTATTTTACCTAACGTGTCATGAGAGAAAATAATATATTTTAAAAAAATTTTTTAATGTTTATTTATTTCTGAGAGAGAAAGAACATGAGCAGGGGAGGGGCAGAGAGAGAGGGAGACACAGAATCTGAGGAAGGCTCCAGGCTATGAGCTGTCAGCACAGAGCATGACGTGGGGCTCGAACTCATAAACCATGAGATCAAAGCTGAAGTCAGACTCTGAATTGACTGAGCCACCCAGGCGCCCCATACCTGGCCCTTACCAAAGACACTCTATGAGGGAACTGTGGTTAGCAAAAGTTGATGGAAAACAAAGGGGAAATTTAAAAAATTTTTAAAGCTTAAAATATTTAATGTTCTATGCCCTGTGGGAATGAGTCAGTAGCTACTGGATTGTTTTCTCTCACTTGTAATCATTTAAAATAGAGTATATTTTTGATAACTCATGATTATGTTTCTAGATATCTGTCATAAGCACAAAAGACTAATGTCTCCCATAGGTAATTGAAGAATTCTGGAAAGAACTCTTTGGTAAGTTGTAGGAGATCAGTCTGTGAAACTATCTTCTCTGAGCACAAAGGACGCTTACCTCTCGCAGAAAGTGTGCAGACAGGGGAGAACCTTGGGATTCTTGTACCGCTCCAGGCATATACTGCAAATCAGAAACTGCTTGTCAATCTGGCGCACCACAGGACTTGGGATGTTGGTGGCTTCACTGGCCATCCTAGACCACTGACATGGGAGGCCGGCTGTCTTTGACCCTGCACGCTGCTGCTGTCAGACAGGAAAAATATGCAATAACTTGTAAGTGCAAATCAATCATGGGTTCGTTCACTACAGGCATTGTGTTAGAAATACAGGTAGAATTCCATGCTAGTGACCTCAAAATGACCATCACCAGCCCTCAATGTTGGATGAGGCATACCGTGAAATGCCTGTTTATTTTATAAATCAATACAATGAACACATATTCACCATGAAAACAAGACAGATCAGAAGACATATGCTGCACAAAGGGACCTGCTTGCTGGCTCTGCAAGCAGTGGAAACTGAGGGGCTAAATACAGCTATGCCATGCCTGTTCGTGCCTTCGTTTATGGCTATATTTGACTCTATATCTCCAGTCTTATTAAAATGGAATCCATATCGAATAGAATAGTCTTACTAAGATAAAATGGTTTCCCAACTATTGAACTTGTAGCGGATCAAAATGTCACTCCAAAATATGCCATTTTGGCGTAAGCATTATTTTGAGCTGAAGGCAGCTGAGACACAGCAGACACGATAGGGCAGCCGGTGGCTGGCGAGGGGCACTCTGCTCTCTCCCATCTGCTGAAAAGCAGGGCATAGATTTCCCACGTTCAAAGGAAATTTTCATCTGTAAAGGTGCCCCACTCACCCATACCAAAAAGAGGAGACTCTTGATGATCACCAGGTATAGGAGGGGAGAGGAGTCTGCATAACAAACCTTACTAAATAACCCTTATGTACCATACATTTCTTGGTCACTTCCCTACAGTTTACTGCCCCCAAACCTCCTTTTCCTTTGTCAAGCCATTTCTCCACCATTTGTCATCCTTTGTTAAAACAGTGTATCAGCTCCCAGGTCTAACTGCCTCTTTGGGTTTTCACTTCTTTTCTGTGAAGCTCCCATGCATGTAAAATTAAAAATATTAAATTAATAAGCTTTGACAAAATATAATATATAATATAATATATATATTATTTTGGAAACATAAACTACCAGTGAAATCTCCCGATAATCTTTGGTCAGTTTAATTCACAGTCTTCAGGAACAGAATTTAAGTGTGTAAAAAAAAAAAGGGTTTCCCTCCCCTGCATATGTTAACATGCAAGGATGGTATAACTAGAAATTATTTAAATTTTTTCTAATATTTATTTATTTTTGAGAGAGAGAGAGAGGGAAAGAGTATGAGTGAGGAAGGGGCAGAGAGAGGAGTCAGAATCTGAAGCAGGCTGTAGGCTCTGAGCTGTCGCCACAGAGCCCAACGCAGGGCTCGAATCCGGTTGGATCACGACTTGAGCTGAAGTCAAAAGCTAACTGACTGAGCCACCCAGGCACCCCAGAATAATTAGAATTTTTTTATTAATACCTTTGTATGTGGTTCAGAGTGTTCTCTTCAGAAATAAAGGTTTATAGATTCTATGCTAAAATGTGTTTGCCACAGAGCAGAGACAAAGGCAGATAATTTCTAATATTTTAAGAAATGTCTGTTGGTATTTATGTGTGGGAATCTGAAGGACCTGGTGAAATTAATTCAGAGAAGGTTTCAAAATGTCAGAGATCGTGCCAGAAAAAGAGAAATAGCAGAGAGCAAGAGAGAAAAATGCAGAGGGCCTCTAAAGGAGAGAAAAATTACAACATAAAACACAGCTTCATTTACCACTTTGAAGAACATCTGGCTTCTATTCCAAAGGGGTAAACCAAGGTTAAGCTAAAATTCACTTCTTAATTTTCTAAATATTTGGGAAAGTATCACAGCCCCCCAATCCCCAATAGATACACTCTACCAAAATGAAATGTTAATTTTCAATGACGCTAGGCAGGAAGTAATATTATTCTCATTCCACAGATTTTTGAAAACCTTCACTCAGTTAAAAAGTTTGCCAGAATGCAAAACTCATAGCCTGTTCATCCCTTAAACCACCACACCTCCCTTGACTGTGTGCTTTAAGACGACTGTATGCACTACAGAAGCTTGGTTTATATATAACATTTTAACTTGGCCTGGGACCTGTGTTTGAAGCTGGAAAATATACCATATTAACAGAATCAACAATTCTACACTTTTTAACCAAAGCTCTTTGCAAACATGAATGAAAGTTCTTTCTCCCCACCAATTCACCAAATTTTTTAAAAGTATGTCAACTTTTATTAAGAAAATTCTATCGAGGAACCTGGATGGCTCAGTAGATAGAGCATCCAACTCTTCACTCGACTCAGATCATGATCTCACAGTTCGTGAGATTGAGCCTCAAGTCGAGCTCTGCACTCGTTCTGTCTCTCTCTCTCTCTCTCCCTCTTTCTTTCTCTCTCCCCCTCACGTGAATGTGGGTGCTCTCTCTCAAAATAAATACATTAACATTTAAAAAATTCTACTAGTTATACATAATTGAGTATAGTTACATATAGGACACACCCATATCCCAACATTATACTTTCTAGATAAGCTCATTAAAGAGCATGATTTATAAACAGATAGAATCTTGTGAAAGCACCTGCTATATAAGAGTGTCACATTCAAACAGAACTCACTGCACTAGTTAAAACAGTGTGAGTGTGACATAATTAATTAGCCAGCACTATCTGCTATCTCTTTCATAGAATGTCTCCCTGAAGAACGAGAGTAGAGTATGATATTCATTGATTGGATTAAATGTGGCTCATGTCTCAGGAACTCAAAGTGTTGGCACATCATCTGCTTTTCTTTAACCATATCCCCATGACATCAGAAAAGGGAAGGAATGGATTTGTCTGTCTTTAAGATAAGGAAACCAAGGCTGAGGGTTTAAATGACTTGCTCAAGGTCACCCAGTAAAATCAGTGAATCAGAAAGCTCAGATTTCAAGTCTTCTGCTTTATCTGACACCTAATCTTAAACAAGATTAACACCTGTGTGTGTGTGTGTGTGTGTGTGTGTGTGTGTGATAAAAATTATGGAATGCTCACTTCAGCAGCACTAAAATTGAAATGATACAGAAGATTGTCTTGGCCCCTGAGCACAGAAGACACACAAATACATGACGTGTTCCATATTTTTAAAAATTATATCTAAGGGGCGCCTGAGTGGCTCAGTTGGTTGAGCATATGACTCTTGATTTTGGCTCAGGTCATGATCTAAGGGTCATGGGATCAAGTCCCGCATCTGGGCTGCATGCTGAGTACAGAAGTCTGCTTAAGATTTTCTCTCCCTCCGCCCCCTCCCCCCGCCACTTTCCCCTGCTCACATTGTTTCTCTATCTCAAAAATAAATAAATAAATAAATAAATAAATAAATAAATAAAACAAACACACAAATAAATAAATTGTTAAAAAATTATATTGAACTTTCCAGTTAAAATATGTTAAAAAATCATTTTAATTTGAATAACTTGTGAAAAATTTCATATCCCCCTTTGAAGTAATCAGTCATGCTAGTATCAAAGAAAGTACAGAGAAAACATCGCATTGTTTCACTCTTTTTTTTTTTTTAACCTTAGAATTTTAGGGTTTGGGCAAGGAGAAAACATTTGTTTTAATCAGGGTATAATTTGAGTAAAAGGAATTTCCTGAGCTCACATTATTCTGCTCTGATGTTGAAATAAAAATATTTCATTCTAATTTTACAATAATTATTGAAGTGGGTGGGAGTATGTCTTTGTTAGTATTGTTAATTTATGGTGAATTGAGTTGACTCATTAACACTAATTTAAAATCATGCCAATATTACAGATCTGTCACAATGACCTGTTGAAGACGTCTGGATTTTTAGGACTCTCAGAATCAACACAAAAGGCTTCCAAGCCCCCAAAGATCCCCAAACTGAGACACTGCCAGGGTAATGATCATTCCCTGAATATAACTGGATCCCCACAATAGAAAGACTATTTGACTACTCCTAAAGGGATAATGTACCAAGAAAAATGGAGGCGCAGAATGTGCTAACAAGCACCCCGGGAAGCTTTCCGTCAGTCTGAATATGCCGCGAGGAACACACATAAAACGTGTGACAGCCTTTAATCAAAGTGTTTGGGCGCTACCACAGTTTCTGGTCGTTTTGATTAGAAAAGCAATAAATACTGGTTTAGAGTCTCGGCTGTTTTCCTTTCCCAGCTTGGTTTCTGAAGTGTCAGTGATCCTTCTTACTCACATAACTGGCGGAAATAAGCACATGGGAAGAAAAGAGATCAGAATGTAGAATTACTCTTCTCCTGGAGATCTGCAAACCCAATTTCTGGACAGAAGCACCTGCAGACATGCTGGGGGTGGGCTTTGTCTCTGTAGGAACCCGGATCCTCTTGGATGCGGGAACTCGCACTGAATATACTGACAAGAGGCCAACACAAAGGAAATGACAGAAAAGAGATGGCAAGAAGAGCCATTTTAGTTTAAATTTTTTTTTTCAGTTTATTTATTTATTTCGAGAGAGCAGGTGGGGGAGGAGCAGAGAGAGAGAGGGAGAGAGAGAATCTCAAGCAGACTCCAAGTTGTCAGCACAGAGGCCAACTTGGGGCGCCATCTCATGAACGATGAGATCATGACCTGAGCCACAATCAAGAGTTGGGCTCTTAACTGACTGAGACACCCAGGCGCTCTAAGAAGAGCCATTTTAAAACTACATAAATAGCCAACATTAGGGTGCTCTTGACATTAACTAGCTATGGGAGCTCTAGCTATGTGGGGAGGCTGGCTGAGTCTCCTTGTCAGTGGAAAACCAATAGCAATACTGCTCACAGGAGGGGTTTCGTTCTCCTCTCTACCACTCTGCTCAATAGCACCCTCTCAATCTGACCATTCTGGTTAAAATTGAAACCTGTCCCCCACACCCCCGCACTTGCTATCTCCGGTCTCTGTAGCACCTGTCACTTTCTGATATAGTATGTAATGTGTTTATCTTGCATATTGTCTCCTCCCCACCTCTCTAGGATGTAAGATTCACGAAGGCAAGGATTGCAGCAGCTAGAACTGTGCCTCGTACATGATAGACACTCATCATTTCTTTGAATGAACTGAGTAAATAAAGTATAACATGGGAATGGATTCAGTCCCAGGAGCAGAAAAAAGCAGCACTGGCTGACTTACACAATAAAGAGCATGGTTGTCATCAGTCATGTGAATGCTTTCATTTGACATCAGACATTACCTGCCTTCCCATGTGATCGTCTAATCTTTAGCAACACAAGCCGTCAGCCAGAGGGTAAATATTCAGTGACATACTTAAACACACTCATAAATGCGGAACAGGAATTGAGAACCACTGAGGACACACGTGAGCAAAGTCTAAGAAAGTTGACACGTAAATTCCTCATTAGTGGGGTGTGCCCACTCAACAGCTTTTGTAACAACAATGCAATACACATGTAACAAAATCCTTGGGCAGAGAAAAACCCCAAATCCCAGCGTTTCTTCCCTCCCGTTGCCTTGGGTATTTTTTCTGGCTCATGTTCTCAAATCTCCTAGAACTTGGTGGAAATGACAACCAAGTGGAAAAGAAGAACTTGAGAGGAGAAGAAACAAAAGGAAAATGCCTGGGTCCACAATTCTAGGGTTGAGACCACAATTCCCACCCCAGAGTATACCATTTAGGTCAGGTAATCATCCAAACTTTTTATTGCTGACACCAGAGAGGGAAGAGCTTCGAAGGGAGGCTGGAAGACAAAAAGACAAACTGAAAGCACTCTGCTTGAGAAGGGGAGAGAGTTGGATGAAAACTTGTTTGTTGGGCTAGGAAACACGGTTGGGAAACAGGTCAAGATTCCTTTGGAAAATAAAATTTTAACATGTGATTTGCGGGTAAGAGTCGGCATACTTGATTATATACCATCCTGAAGGCACTAGATTCCATTTCTATTTAATTTTATGGCATTCCTGGGTTACTGCTTCTCTTTGTTGCCACTTAGTTGGATTTATTTATTAGGATGGTTACATTTTTACTGCCAATGACAATGGTGCAGACATGCTAATATCAGCTTCCCGGGGTGCCTGGGTATCTCAGTCCGTTAAGCAGTTGACATCAGCTCAGGTGTGATCTCATGGTTTGTGAGTTTGAGCCCCACATCGGGCTCTCTGCTTTCAGCATGGAGCGTACTTCAGATCCTCTGTCTCCCTCTCTCTCTGATCTTCTGTCTCCCACTCTCTCTCTGCTCCTTTCTCTCTCTCTCAAAAAATAAATAATATTTTAAAAACAGAAAGTAGTAAATTCTGAATCATTAAAAAATAAAAATAAATTCAGTTTCCTAAGAAGTTAAAAATCTTCCAATACATTTATAGAAAGAAAACTTGAACCATTAGGATTATCTATAATTCACAATGCTCTATCTTTTACCTGCCAGGACAGATGGTACCTAGAGCTCAAGGCACAGGTTAAAACATGACTAAAGAAACAAGGTTACTTTTAGCTTTTAAAATTTATGAGCATATTTTTATTCACCTGCAACTGAATTTGCATTGTTACAGAGGACTTAACTAGAAGAAAGAAAAGAGGACAATCTTCAGTGAAATTAAAACAGGGTGACCTATTTCCAGTTAAATCAAGCCTCCCAAATGGGCCATTTTGTAAATTAGAAGGCCAGATACAATATCTTTTCTAATAGTACATGCATGAGTGTACGTGTGTGAGGGAGAGTGGGTGTGTATTCAGGAAGCCATCCACTTTAACTTCTGTCTCCAGGCAAGGATGTGCCCAAGCTTTCCAAGGGCTCTTATTATTTCCAGGGTGCAATGTAAGACAGCTTCCTAAGGTTGCTGGGTTTTACTACATGGAAGTTGATTCACGCCAAGCCCCCAACTTGTCTTTAGAATATTTATGCCTATTATTTCCTCTACCTCTCAGTATAGATAACTATTTGTCTTTGCCTTCTTCATAAACGTCCCTACCTTTTATAATATAATTAAGTCAGTTCTTAACGATTTGCTTTGGGTTCTCTCAGGTGCAGAAGGCTGGGTCTGTGTGATGGAGTGTTAAGTGGTCAGACTAATTAACATGCATGGACAGTGACCTGGGACAGTCAGGCTGAGTGCGGCTTCCTCTCCCCATATCCATCATCTTGCCAAGACTCCTCCCTCACTCTCCTTTGGGACTACAAGGAGGTTGCATATTCTGGGGCCACAGAAAAAAAAAAGACAGAGGAAGGCCAAAGCCCTAAGCTCCGGGAGCTGGGCGAGGTTAGCAAGAAGGAGGAGAAATTTATTCTACATCAGCACTTCCAAAGACAGAGGCCTGTGTAACAGCAAATCCCCTTGTGTCCCTGGACAGGAAATACATATTTAATTTTGTTGTTGATTAGAATAAATGTTTACCTTAATAAAAAGCACTTAATGGAGGAACGGAGGTGATTGAGAACATAAAGGCAGAAAAGGGTAAAGTAAAAGAGGGTAGAAAGACTAGCACGCAGAAAGCAGTAATGAAGGTTCCTTCCAAGGTGCTGTTTGAATAATTACACTGGGCTCATTTTTCCCCCTCAGTATCTGGCTTAATCTAAACCTTCAAATTCTAGGAGGAAACCTGATCTGTTAACCCCATTATAGAACAAATTCCATTCTGACATCAAAATCCTTACATAAGTAATAAAGGGCACAGATGGCATCAGACATTTTCAAAAAAAGCAATTACAGGTGTGTGCAAATTATAATTATTCCATAATCAGAAGTCAGTCACATTTTTTAAAGAAAAAACATTTTTTTAAAGAGTAAATAATTTGGCAGCAAATTTTTTAAAGTGTAAAAGTATTTATCTTCCATATATTTCAATAATACAAATGGTTTGTTAAAGTCTTAGTTTTATCAGAGAGATGATGAAAAAAAGCACAAGGGAGTCTTAAAAATTAAGCTTAGGTTAAATTTTTAAAAATTGCTACATTGGAATTCCTTTGACTTAGAGAGTTGTAACTTTGGAGAAATTAATGTCTCTAAATATCCAAACGAAGAACATTTTTGATTTTTAGTAAGACAAAGAATGAGTGTTTTTGCTTCTTTCACAAGCAACAAAATCCCAAAAGCTTTTTTCATGTAAGTAGGAAAAAAATAAGTCGTCTCAGGATTATAATATTAACTATGGTGAAA